GCTTCCTCTTTGATTGACACCAATCAGGGCATGGGCAGGGCCTTCTGCGGAAGACGTTACAGACAGGCAGCCTGTGATAGCACAGGGAAAGACAACAGACCCTCTCTCCACAGTTCACATCACAGACACCTTCCCCTTCCCCACTGTATCCTGGCAAAGGAATCGAGGTGGGAGGTCCACACAAGAAGGTGCCAAATCCATCTGAAGGAGTGGGGAACTTTAACATGTTTCGAGTTGTTACGTATGAGAAAAGCTCAGCTGTGATAACTCCTGTCTAACTCTCCTTCTCACAAACCACACTCTCAACCGGTGGTGGACTGGGGAATCTTTGCCAGCTACAGAGGGATTACTGTACCAGCAAGTCTCCAGGGAGGCCTAGGGCAGGCACACCACACTGGAAGATCTAAACCCAGCGTGCTTAGGTAGCAGGTGACAGGGAGAGGAAGACATAGATCAAAATCAGCACAACACAGGCTGAAGAAGCTCTCTTTGTGAGCTTGCCAGGAAACCCTGGAGTGTACCCACCACTCTCCTCTATCCTGGCAGCTGCTGCTCACCTCTTTCTCTCCTCTCCCATGCAGAGAAATCGATGTTATCTTGCCCGGCTACACCCACCTGCAGAAAGCTCAGCCCATCAGATGGAGCCAGTTCTTGCTCAGGTAACCACCTTTCACACTTGGCTGGAGGAAGCCTTCTCCACGCTTGGGGCCCTGCTCAGCTGGAGCCCAGAAGTGCGTCATCCTCTGAGGGGACAGCCCGGGGTGGTGACAAACCAGCACTAACCTTGCAAACTGGAATAGGAGCTCCCCGTGTTCTTCTGCGTCTCTCTATCCCGGGACTCAAGCACCAAATGGGCAGTGGAGGCCGACTCCCTGTATGCTACATCCTTTGGCCAGAGTTACCTCTTGGTCCTCATGACATTTTCTGACTTCGGGTGGTTCATCTGTCATGACTTTTTTCCTAGCCATGCTGTTGCACTGACCCGTGATTCTGAGCGCCTGGGAGAGGCAAAGAGGAGGATCAACGTCTTGCCTTTGGGAAGGTAATGTTTACTTTCTGTGTAATCCCTGAGCCTCCATTTGCTCTGTGAAATGGGTAAGAGGTGGATCTTTACATCTCCTGAACCACCAGGGTTTGTATGCGATATGCGCTGCAGAGCTGTGAGGGCACAAGCCTTGCTTCTCTCACCAAAGACTCTCACCACAGATACTGCTCTTCTCCCTTCTTGGAATCAAGAACTACAAGGGTTTCATTAAGCAAACCTTCCTCTTTGGAAGAGAGCTCCTGGTTTAGTCCAGAGTTCAGTTTGCTCAGTTTGTCATTACTGCCTGCTAGAGCTCAGTTTTGGTTGGAGTGTGCAGGGTATCATGCATGACCTGTGTTTCTTTCTTCCCTGGCAGCGGTGCTCTGGCTGGAAACCCTCTGGAAATTGATAGAGAGCTTCTGCGTAGTGGTAAATGTCTCCCCATGATTGAGAGGCACAGCTCTACACATAATATCTGGGAGTTGGGGAAGCATTGATACATTGTCCAGGTGTTATTTTGAATGTGTTGCAGCACCTTAACATAGGGATGAAGGGTAATAAATACAAAAAATGAATACGATCTGATGCGCAGTGGCACAGGTGGGAGGCAACACCTAATGACTTGTAAGCCAGAAGGCTCTTTACTACTGTGAGACAGCAGAAGCCTGTAGGGTGGGAGCATAAAGAGAACCACCTCTGCTGCACACTGGCTCTCTGGGGCTAATAACAAAACCCTGCTCAGCATGTTTGTGTTCCTGGCACTACTCGAGGGCTCACAGTCGCTTGCATGCTGGGGAATCCTGCTGCATTCAAGCTCCAGTCATGCCAACCCTGACCTCTGTCCATCACCTTCCTTACAGAGCTGGACTTTGCTTCCATCAGCCTGAACAGCATGGATGCCGTAAGCGAGAGAGACTTTGTCGGTAAGCACAACTCAATCACATCTTCCCACCACTATTTTAGAAGCAGGCTTCTGAGACCTTCCCAGTTGACCTCCCTTAACAAGGGGACTGATATCCCTCACTAAGAAGTATTTAGACAGAAAATCTGTTTGCTCGTGTTTAAACTCCAGTCAGGGCTCTCAGAGTTGTCAAGCAAACAAGCACATTTTTCACCTCCTGATTTCCTGCCTTCTCTGCAGTGGAGTTCCTCTCTGTTGCCACCCTCCTCATGATCCACCTTAGCAAGATGGCTGAAGATCTCATCATCTACAGTACCAGCGAATTTGGCTTTGTAACCCTCTCTGATGCTTACAGGTAGGTCTCTTGGGCAGAGAGCCCTTCCCTAAGTCCCTCCTCCTCAGCTATCCTCCCCTGGGAAAATGAGAGAGTGGTTGGGGTCTCCATGCTGCACAAGGCTGACACAGCATTAAAAAGCTGGCAGAAAGGCAGCCTTGGGGTGAATATTCTTCAGTAATGATCACTTGTTTTGGATTCTGGTAACTCAACCAAGACTGCATTCAGCAGATGCTCCTCCCCAGCAACTGCTGGCTGAGAGAACTTCCTCCTCTGCCGGGAATACCTGCCAAAGCCCTGCCCTGACAGCCGGGTTTGCAATCCTAACAGACTTCCTGTCTCTTGGGGTGGCACAACCACAGCCCTCTCTCTCCCAGTTCACAGCAACACTTAGTCTGGCCTCGTGATGCCAACTCTAGAAAGGCTGGTGAGGAAACCTCCTTTTTGCTTCCTCTTTGAGAGGTGGGACTGTGTAGTAGCTTTAGAAAAGACTATAAAAAACAAAGGCTCTGTTGTGAGAAACATGAGAAATTCCACACACTCAGTTTTCCTACACCCTAGAAAGGTGTCTGGGTAAGGGGGACCTATGTGTTACTTTTGGAGGGTGGGACCAGTATGCTGCAGGACCTATGTCAGTAGGGATTGGGGTCTTGCTCACCATTACACTCCACACACCTTTCTTTCAGCACTGGCAGCAGTGTGATGCCTCAGAAGAAGAACCCCGACAGTCTGGAACTGATCCGCAGCAAAGCTGGCCGTGTATTCGGACGGGTAAGCCTGCTAAAGAAAGAAGCGGGATGGGGAAACTGTTTATACTGGGGCTCAAGCATCTTGTCTCTCCTTGCCCCTCTGTAAAGAAATGTGCCCAGTCCAGGCTCTTAACCTCTGCTGGGGCAATGTGCTTCTCTTCCTAGAACTAACTGCCTCACCCGTTTCTCTCTGCAGTTGGCTGCTATTCTCATGGTCCTCAAAGGACTTCCCAGCACCTACAACAAGGACCTGCAGGTAAAACAGATGTTAGTTTTCACTCCATTTCTCTGAGCAGACACAGCCATCTTCTGCTCTTGAGCACTCTTGCCACTACATTTCCCTGCACAGACCCTGCTTGTGTGCGGGATGCTGAGAAAGGGGCGGAAGCACGGCATGCTGCATCAGGTTCTCTTACAGCAGTTGCCATCTCTGTTCTTATGCAGGAGGACAAGGAGGCCGTCTTCGATGTTGTGGACACCCTGAATGCTGTGCTCCAGGTTGCCACTGGAGTGATTTCTACCCTCCAGGTAAGGCTTCAGCCTCTCACTATTGAACATGGTTGGGGGGGACATTCTGTGCGTAACACAGGTAAGAGAGCTCTAGACTGCGCTTAAGATGACAACTCTTCAGTGGCTCACCCATACTGCTCAGTATGGCCACCAATGTCAGTTGCTTAGGGGAACAGAGGGTCCTTTCAGAGCCAGGTCCCTTCTAGATGAAGTCCCCTCACTGTGACGGCAAACACTCCAAGGAGGAGCTGATGGTAATGTCTCCCTCTAACCCTCGTTTTCTCAGATCAACAAGGAGAACATGGAGAAGGCTCTGAGCCCTGAGATGCTGTCTACTGATCTGGCTCTCTACTTGGTTCGTAAAGGAGTAAGTATCAGAGGGAGACTTGGAGCCGTGATTTCTTTGGATGCAGAATACTGCTCAGTGAGGGCCTGAGATGAGGCCTTCTGTTCTGTCCCCAGGTGATGATCAGTCTGGGTCAACAAACCCAGATTCACATTGCATTGCCCTAAGAGAAAGCAAGCCAACCAAAAAAGACAGCACATCCATTCTTTCCTTTGAGGCTGCACCCCAGTTGCCTGGTCACTGACTGCACTCTCTGCTTCTCACTGCAGATGCCATTCAGACAAGCCCACACTGCCTCTGGGAAGGCCGTCCACCTCGCTGAGTCTAAGGGCACCACCATCAACAATCTCAGCCTGGATGACCTGAAGAGCATCAGGTTTGTATCACAGTTATTTTGCCACGACTGCCCTCAGCTGGCAGGTATCAGCCTCCCTTCGTATGGGCCTCCTTACGGTGCCCTTCCTCAAAATGCCTGGGCCAGACAGCACCCCAAAATCCCCCTGGCCGGAATACCAGTGCTGCTACTGCTGGGCCTGAAATAACTGAAGGGGGACAACATCACTACCATTCTGCTCCACGAGGGCATGGGCGGCAGCTATGGGAGGGACTGGAAGGAACGCATGCCCCGACCTGGAGGCGCCAGCCCTCCAGAGGAGTTTGGCTCCAAACTTCCTCACTCTCCCCTGGGAGCTGACTCTTTGGTCTGCCACAAGCAGCTACTGCCCGGCCGTAGAAGGGCAGACGCAGGGCTGCCAGAGGCCTTTCCCCTTGGAAAAAGGCTGCATCTCCACTCCCTCACCCTCTCTGCAGGCAGAGAGCATGTAAAGGCAGCCAACAGCACCCAGCGCTCTCCACTGACACCTCTTCCCTTTGCCTCCCCAGCCCCCTGTTTGGCAGTGACGTCTCCCAGGTCTTCAACGTTGTCAACAGCGTGGAGCAGTACACGGCCATGGGTGGTACCGCCAAGAGCAGCGTGACTACCCAGATCGAGCAGCTGAGGGAGCTGCTGAAGAAGCTGAAGGAACAAGCTTAGAGTGTGGGGAGATATCCCGTGGATGCAGCGTTGTGCCTATCACACTAATCTGGAGTTAATAAACACTGGGGTGTATGTAGTTCACTGAAACTCGTGTCTTGTGTCTTACTTCTAAGGGGCTTAATTGAGCTGGGCTTCCTCAGCCCTCGTGAGGCTTGGGGAAATGTTCACTGCTGTGTGAACCTGGCAGCGGGGTTATGGGGTGTCAAGTTCCAGGGTACCAGCAGGTAGAGAGCAGCAGGAGCATCAGTGCATGTGTTGAAGGAGGCTTGTGTGTTTCCACAAAGACAGATGCTTGGTTACATCTGCAACACATGCCACATCTCCTGCTACCACTGCCCTCCTCCTAGGATTATGTATTACTTTTTCCTTCTGGCAGCAAAAAACAGTCTTCTTATGCCTGGGCACTGGAACCTGGCCAGTAGGTCAACCCACAGGTTATCCCAGTCCATCACAAAACCACCTTTGGCTCTGTTTTACTCCGTAGCACAGAGTTGCAAGGTCCCAGGTCCAGTGCCTTCCCCTGTGTGACACATACCCCGATATGCCTCCAAACTAGCTGGTGCAGAGTGCTTTAAAAAAAAAATAAATCCCTGGCATTGCATTGCTGCTGCCTCTTAAAAAAACATTTACCATCTTCCCTTCTGTCCTTAGAGAAGTAAAATCAGAACAAAGAGCAGGAAAAGTCTTATGTGAGGAATGAAGTGCCAGGAAGTTCCTGAGTCCCCTGCTGCTTACTGCCATGTTTCTCTGGTTTAGTACATTTGTCTCACCTTCCAGCTAAGTCAGCTGTGGCAGGGAAGTCAATTATGTTCACTTAATTCAGGTGGAGAGGCGACAGCAACAGCCAACACCAACAGACTCAGAGGAAGGGATTATCTCCTCCTCCCCAGCTCACGGTTCTTTTCTTTCCTCACATAAGCTTTCCCTGTATTTTTTCATTCTGGGTCAGTACCTTCACGTGTCTCAGCTGACTAGACTTTCGCTTGTTCCTAGCCGCCACTGTTCAGCATCTTGGGGGTCAGTGCCGAGTAATGTGTGGCCCTGCTGATAGAAAAAAAAGGAGGTGGTTTTAGCAGATTACGACATCTCCATCTCTTGCTTAAATAAATAGTTCAAAATCACTGGTAGTCCCCATTTGAGCCTCCACGCTTCTGATATTCTTACATGTCACCAAGCCTTTCACTGCTCTGCAATAAACTGAGCTGTTCCTTCTGTAACTGAACGAGATACAGCACAACTGACAGCTGCTTATTGCACATGGAGGTACACATTCTCATCCAGGGAACGAACATCGGCTACAAATAAGCACGCTGTAAAATTAACATCAATCCAATGGCATTTCCTTCCTCCCTTGCCCTGCGATACTCTTCTCCATCCTGCTTTATTCCTAACGAAGTTCTGAGGGACGTGATCGGAATAGGAAACATTACCACGCTTCGCGGATGAGGCCAGATGTGGTTTCCTAAGGCAGAGATCATCCTCCTGCCTGTCCCCGAGATGCTGTCTCACCATCGGTGCTCTTCTTTACCCTTTCCAAGAACTCCTTGCCCTCCTGCTTCAACGAACGACCCTGAAAATAAATAAAAGTAAGTAAGCAAGTAAATAAATGAATAAATAAAAGAAACCCACACCACCCCTGCCGGAAAACCTGCATTCCTGGACACAGCCCAACCCCCGCCAGGGTTTTTACACCAGGCTACCGATGCCCGCAGCCCCCTCTCCCCGCTGGCGCTCGGCACCGGTCCGCCCCCCCCTCCCCCCCTTCGGCTCCGCCACGACGGGGCGGGATCCGCCCCCCGCCCCGGTACTGCCCACAACCAAGATGGCGGCGGGAGCCTCAAGGGGGGGGGGGGCCGGGGGGCGCCCC